AGGCCATAGCTCAGATGTTCCTACAACTAGTTTTGGAGCAGGCCTCCTCCTACCTGGTGACAATGACCTTGGCTGAAGCATCCCCTAACAGTGCCCCTGTGTCAAGCAGAGATGAAGCTCAAATTAGCCTATGGTTTTCTATCCCAGCTGAAGCAGCCAGGAGGGTGCTAAGCACAGGGCTGAGTTGGCTCTGGACTCAAACTCCAGCCACCCCTGAAGCCTCCTATGGGAGCCCCTCCATGGTGGATGGAATGAGTTCAGCCATCCCAGGGACTGAGGGAGCAAATCTGACTCCCAGCAGCAAAATCATGGACATTTTACCGACCTCTCCTCCTTCTGCCCAACATTCTGAGAGCCCAACATTGGGAAGAGGGGCTAGCCCAGCTGCTTCAGTGACCACATCTTTGCCTCTAGGATCAATGTCTTCAGACACTGGTAGTGGAGTGCCAGGTTCATCTTCTACAGCTGTTAGCTCATCTTGGGAGGGGAGTACAGCCCATGAGGTGCTGCCTCCAGGCTCAGAGACCAACTCAGTTCTCCCATTGACCACTGCTGTAGTGGAAGAGATGTCCCAGCTACTGTGACAAGAGAGGTCACTGTAGGAGATTGAGTCAGGAGCCCAGTACCAGCCTGGGAGAGAGCCCAGCCTCCTCAAACGACACAGCACCAACAGGGAGGAGCCCTATTTCCCAGGAGGTATCCCTTGGTGTGGGCACAGAAACTTCCTCAGGCTTCAGATCAGCTGGTGGTCCATCAAGTCCCCCAGTCACTGACCTGCTGACAATGACTGACCCAAATCCCATTTTCCCTGGTGCAGTGGGAGAAGCCCCATCAGCTTCTCCTCTTTCACCAGTTGTGTGGCTCAGCCCTTCATCCATTTCCCCCATGTCGACATCAGAGAACAATGGAGATTTCTCCCAGGACCACTTCTTCAAGCCCCACAGAGCTCATGACAGATGTCTCGACGTCTGTTCCACTTACGGGTCCACCTTCTCAGAGAAGACCAGTGTGGAAACTGCTTCCAGTTCAGCTGCCCCTCTGGGCACCAGACTGCCAGGCTTCATTGGGTCAGTTACTGTGACAGAGGCTTCTGGGACAACAGAGGAGAAGACCAGGCCCCATTAACAGTGGGAGGAGCCCCATCAGCTTCTCCTCTTTCACCAGTTGTGTGGCTCAGCCCTTCATCCATTTCCCCCATGTCCACATCAGAGAACAATGCTGCTTTCATTGGGGCCAGTTCTTCCTCATGGCTTGGTTTCCTGCTTTCTAGAGTTCTCCACCTTATGGACCACGTGGGGCTTTTCTTGGGTCTTGGTGTCTTTTTCAATTCCTGGTAATATTTTCATTCTGTCTTCTTGGTTTCTCTATGGGAAATCTTTCCCTCTGGGTCTGTTCTTTGTGATTGAAACACTGACTCCTTTCATTTCAAAAATGGTGGGGAAGGAAATGTTTGTCCATTCCTTGTCTAGGGGTATATGTTGGGAAGGTGCACAATTGTTATATAGATGGCATCCACTAGCCTGAACCTAGGATTACCCAGAGGACGTGGATTGGAGGGTGTGGTCTATGCAGCTAAGAAGTGATTGAGAGTTTATAGGAGTGGGGTCAGGGCAAGCCTAATGATAGACTCCCAGTCTGAGCCCTCTCTACCCTGGTGTGTGTCAGCTTCAGAGGTGAGCTCAAGCTGTGACAGGAAGCTTTGGGTGATGAACATGGTTGTGCCGGAGGAGGTGCCCATGGTGAACATGTGAGGGAGAGTGAATACTGAAGCTTGGAGAGGGCAATGTCATCCAAACGAGGAAGGAGCCTTGCAGAGAAGAGATGAGGGTGCCTGGGAGGTGATTCCCAAGCACCCCACTAGACACTTCCACATGTGCCAACCCATCCCCTCTTTTAGACACAGGCCTGTCCAGCAGGAGCCCAATGACAGCAGGTACCAGGGATCCATCCCCTGCCAGCAGAGAGGCCACGGAGCCCACCAGCCTGCCTGTGGTTGCCTCCACCATGGGAACCTCCACTTTCAGGAGAGCAGCAGTGAGCATCCCCCTACACACAGCTCCTGGCTCAGCCCCTGCTCAGTCCACCAGCCTCCCTGTGGGCTCTGCTTCAGGGAGCCAAGGTCTGGAGACACCTATGACAACCATGTCCTCTGTGGCAGGAGCCCGCAGTTCCACTGACTCTACTGCTGGCGTGACCACGGCCACTGGCTCCCTCCCGCTTACTGCTACTTCAGCTGAGGTCCAGGAGGGTCCAGGCTCCAGTGCTCCCTTAGACTCCAACTCACTAGGGGCAATTTCCTCCACGGCCACCCCTAGTGCAGCCCTGACCACAGGGAGGGACCCTGACACCAAGCCTGCGGAGACCTCTGCAGGTGACTCCTTCCTTACTGGGATCTCAGCTTCAGGGCCAACAAGCAGCCAGACCCTCGCTCTGTTTTCATCTGACCCAAGCTCTGCTAGCAAAGTCACAGAGATACCCCACCCCCCATTTCCATCATTACCCACACAGTGGCTTCTACCATCTTAGAAAAGTCAGGGGCCCAGACAGGAACTGAGCCCAGCTCGTCTGGGTGCCTTTGACTAGCCTGAGCAAGACCTTCTTCCTTGAGGAAGGAGGAACAGCCACAGCCATGCCATCCATGGAAAGGAGCACAGGGCCCATGACTGTGTCCATCACCATCCCTGCGCCCACAGGGACTTCGGGAACTCCCACCTCTCCAGGAGTGCACAGCAGTTCCACAGGGCCACTGGAGTCTTCCTGGACTGGGAGAAAGACCTCCCTTGGCTCTTCTAGTATGGGACATAAGAGGCTAGAGATTTCATTAGTCATACCCTGTTACAACAATTAGCTCACTTTTAGCTGAGGGTGAAGTAATGGCCCTCAGGTCCACATGGTCCTTTTTCTCTGCTATTTTATGGAGTTTATATAAGAAAAACGTCACTAATTCCAATTAATTCTAATAGCTCTGACCTCCCCCCAACCCCCACCCCTAGTTAGGAAATTCTTCACATTCAGAGGTTTGACTCTGAATGTTTAATTTTTTAAATTAATTTAAATTTTGTATATTTCCCACAAACCCTTGGCTTCTTTATGTTTGGGGCAAAATCAAGACACAGAAAACACTTAGGTAAAAGAATTAATCAGAGTGTCATAGTTCCTGTTCACTTGACAGCCTGAGAGGGAAAGAGTTGATCTTTCGGAAGGTCCACTCAGTCAGTAGCTTTCAGTTAGAATTCTCTGTTCTGAGGTCCCTCTTAGGGACCCAATGGTCTACCTCGATCTTTCCCTTCTCTGACATGTCTCATCTCTTCTTTCAGTTCCTTCTTTTGCCTGTTACTCCTGGGTTGCCAGTTTTTTCCAGCTCAGCTCATTAAGCTCTGCACAAGGCTAATGATGCCATCTCCCTACTTTTTCCTGTCATAGCTCTCTCTCTCTCTCTCTCTCTCTCTCTCTCTCTCTCTCTCTCTCTCTCTCTTCCTCTTCTTCTCACTTCTCCCTCTTGCTTCCTTCTTTCTTCTCTCCCTTTCCTCTCTCCTCTCCCTCTCCCCCTTTCTCTCTTTCCATCCCTTCCTCTGTCTCACCTCCACCCCCTCTCTAACTCCTGATCTCAAACCCCCTGCCAGCTCAAAGATTAATTGCATTCAGGGCTGTGAGGGAATGTGAGGGGGACAACCCTAAACTACAAAGCTCAGCATGTGACCCAGTTCTCAGCCCCCTGTTATACAAGGAACAATAAGAAGCTCTGAAGAATGAACTTCTGAAGACACAGAAGGTGAAACAGTTCCAATGATGTGGAAAAATGGGAGTTGTCAGGAGAGACTGAAGTGTATGGACAAGGAGCTAACCGACTAGCTTGGATTTAAAAAAAAATAAGATATATGCAAAATACTTGAGTACTGGAGTATGTTCAGAAGAGGAGGTAACAGGAAGACTATAATAATAGCAGAGTCGCGGGCAAAAATAGCGTCTGGGGCTAATACTTGTAATGAGCTGGAGGTTGAATGCAAAGCCAAGAAAACAAAATGAGGGTTCTTTTAAAAGCTGTGCTGGGGAAGGAAAAGGATAATGGGATAGGCTTGCTAATTGGGGGTGGATTAGATGATGATGACTGGCCACAGAAAGAGAAGGCAGAAGAGCTTGATTTTTTTTTTTGCTTTTTTCCCAGTCAAGGTGGATGGTTTTTGTACTAGAAGTGACAGAACAGAAATGACTAACAGGAAATTTATTCCCAAGATAAGTAGTGAGATCACATGAGAACGCTTGGTAGCCTAGATGAACTCAAGTGATGTTATTTCTTTCAGATATGAGATAGACTAACTGACCCCTGAGTGCTCCTCCAACTCTCAATGCTGTGATTCTCTGAATGGGGAAGGGAAAGGGAGGGAAGAAGCATTTGCTAAGCACCTCCCATGTGCCAGGCATTGCATGTCCCTATGTGTGTCTTACAAATAGTATCTCATTTGATCCTCACAACAACCCTGGGAGGTAGGTGCCGTTATTATCTCTGTTTTCCTGCTTGAGGACACACGAACAGGCAGAGGTTGAATGACTTGCCCAGGGCAACATCACTAGTAAATGTTTGAGGCTGGATTGGAACTCAGGTTTTCCTAACTCCCATGCCTGGCATTCAAGTATCTGTACCACTTAGCTACGAGGAAACATGGAAAGAACTTTATCAAAAAATGCAAAGTAAAAACAAAAGCAAAATCAGAAAAACAAACTTTATCCTGAATATACCTACAAAAAGAAGATGAGACAGAGAATCAATGAACAAAGAATACTGGTGGAACTCTTGAGAGGAAGTGATTGAAAAGCTCTATCATGTGTTGAAAAGACTTTGTTTAAAGGGAAATTATTGCCCTGTATTTCCATTAGTTGTATTGAATTAAGCTTGTAGAGGCAGCATGTTGTAGTGGGTTAGAGAGCAGGTCTCCAGAGTCAAGAAGACCTGAGTTCAGGTCCCCTCTCTGACACAGACTGGTTGTGTGGCCCTGGGCAAATCATCTAATTTTTGCATGCCTTTGGCAAGCCAGAGAGTTCACAGTCATTATCATTGTGTCCTTTCTCAGGCCTGTGAAGAATGGCACTGCAGTGAATTTCCTTTGTACATACTGGAAACTCCTCACCATTCCTATCCTGGACAAAAAGAAGATTTACTGGGAGCTGAGCAAGCAGACCCATAAAATTACCAGGCTGGGGTCCCTACACCCTGGAGAAGAAGAGCCTCTACATCAATGGTGAGCCTCAAACCCTACCCAGGACATGCAGTTCCTTGGCCTCCATGCTTGGTCCCACTCCTGTTAGCCCCTCACCTGTCAAAGCAACTTTCTGTGCCTATGAGGATCCTTCTTTGCTTCAATAGCACCTGTCTTACTGAAAGTACCTTCCTATTATGTGTTTGGAGTCTGAGGGAAAGCAGAGGCCTCACAGAGGTAAGCCTAAGAACCCTAGCTGGGCAGAAGATGGACTCCTGACCTGGGAACCACTTTGTAAAATCCTCTCTTAGCTGATGACCCATATTTTTCAACTCTTTTGGCTTCAGATGCTCTGTCTCATGTTTCTCCTTAATCCTTTCTCAAAATGGTAGGCTCTTTCATCCATGGCTGTTCTCTCTCTCTCTGCAGGTTACAGCAATCAGATGACACTCTTCTCCTTCACAAGCTGTGAGTATTCTTATCCTGGGAGCAAACAGAGAAACCACTTGTCCATCCCAACCCTGTTCTCCTAGCATCCTGGGAAAAAGAGGATGGACCAAGGGTGTAAAAGAGAGAGGAAGGCACCATGTCCCCTTCATCCTGGTAATTCAGTCTACACCAGTGGACTCAGTGGCCAAGCAAAATGCAATCCATTTTGCCTGTGTCTTATAGTGTATACCCCTCTTTGTCACATGGACATTTGGTCCACAGTTTTCATTCATGATATTTCCCTTCAGGTCTACTGATAAGAATCAGCACTCCAGCTCCATCTCCAGAGTCCACAGGTAAGATCTGCTTCCATTCTCTGGGAAGGTTTTGCTACATTTGGCTATAAGACTGAGAGATAGGAGGTCTTAGGATCATAGATTTAGAGCTGGCAGGAAACTTCCGGGTCATCTAGTCTTAACTGCTGCCCTCCTTTTGCAGTTGAGGACACTGAGGCCCAGAGAGGAATGGAGGCTGAATGTCACATAGGTAGGAAGTAGGACAGTTAGGAATGGAACCTATGCCTTCTTTCTCCAAATCCAACATTCTTTCCACTGCATTGTGTTGCCAGAGGAATAGGTTTATGGCTAAAGGGTTCCCTGAAGGACTCATTAGTGAATTCAGTCTGCTGAGTTTTCCTTGGAAGAAGGACTAGGATAGTTTCAGCTGGGTGTCCTTAAGGATGATTGTGATGGTGAACATTATTATCATCTATCATTTATATAGTACTTTAGGGTTCACAAAACACTTTATAGATATTAACTCATTTGAATTAACACTTCTGAAGTTCAGGCATGGAGATGTTCTCTCCTTCTATATAGTAGCCTGTGTTTGTCATATGTTGAGAGGTAGGAGTGTCTGAGCAAAGTTTGGAGGGTTCCTCATGGATGCAATTAATAGGGCCAGGACACGTAATTTTCCTCCTAAGGACCACCACCTGGGCATTCCTGAATGTGCTGAAGGACACACAGGCAGCATGTCAGACATCTCTGTCTCTCTTTTTTGTAGCCTTCAGCCTTGATACTTTCACCCTAAATTTCACCATCACAAACTTGAGATATACAACAGGAATGAGCCAAATGGGCTCCAGCAAATTCAATTCTGTAGACAATGCCCTGGAGCGCCTGGTGAGACACGACCCCTTTCGTCCCCTCTGCCAAGCTGATTGCCTCAGCCCTGGGTACTGAGGCTTGATCTAGAAGGCCCCTCTCTCCTTTTACTTCCAGCTTGGTTCCTTGTTTGCCAAGACCACCCTTGGCTCTCAGTACGTTGGATGCAAGCTGATCTTGCTGAGGTGAGATCCCTGGGAGTCATTGGCCTCATCAGGCATGGTACCAATTGGTGCCCTTCAGAAAGGAGATGTCTCCAGCCTGCTATAATGTGGGTCCTGGCAGATTTTCCAATTCCTCAATGAATTTATCCACATCCTCTTGCCACATAGTCTCAGGGAGGTGAATTCAGACTTGGAATTTTGGCAGTTCCCCACAAATTCTCTAGAGTAGACCCAGTGAGACGCAACACTGTTGCCCCATTTAACCATCATCCGTTTCAATATTTGCCTCAGGCTTCTGAAGGGTGGCTGCCCCCTGACTTCAGGATTGTTATCAGATTTTTCAGGTCCCATTTCAGGCTCCTGATGGCCTTTTTTGCCTTCTTTCCCAGGTTGTTGAAGGAGGGGACAGCAACCTGAGTTATTTTTGCTTGTGCTCATCAGATAGATCCTGGCAGCCCTGAGCTAGACAGAGAAGAGCTTTACTGGAAGCTGAGCAGCCAGACCTGGAACTTCACAAGACTGGGGCCCTACATCCTGGATGAGGAAAGTCTCTACATCAATGGTGAGTGCAGTGTTTTGCACATAGTAAGTGCCTGATAAATGCTTTTTGATCCATCCATCCATCCCATCCATCCACCCATCCATTCATCCATCCAATGGTAAGTAGCCCAGGTATTCAAATGAACTTCTTTGTTGTAGTTCCTCCTTTCAAGGGATTGGGACATGTGTCTCCAATTC